GCTCAGGGCTGGTGCGGGGAGTGGGGAACGGGGACTGATGACAAATGGGTTCTGAGTTTCCTTTTTGAGTCATACAAATGTTCTAAAATTCAATTATAGTGATGGTCGCTCAAATCCATTAATAACCTAAAAACCATTGAATTATACACTTTAGATAGGCTTAACAGTATGTAAATTCTACCTCAATAAAGACAAAAACCCAAGGTTCACCTGGGACCGGGTGTACCAGTAACTTGTGTAAATATTGGCTGGTCCCCTTCTTTTAAATGGTGACTGCACTGACTGTGTCCCCCAGCGCCCACCTCTGATGGGAGGGGTGTCTGCTGGTAACAGGAGCGGTGGGTGAGGCTTTCTCTCCCTCCTGCCTGCACAGCGAGAGCAACACACAGACAGAGCCATTACTTGGCTGACAATAGGGCAGATCAGAAAGAGCTGATGTCTATCTGTGACTGAGACAATTCTCCCGTACTTCTTTCTACCTAAGTAATCTGAAACCCCTTTTAATTTTTTGAATCAGTAAGAAAGGCTTAAACTGAGGGAGCAACCTGCTGATTACTACTGAATACCAGAGGGCTGGAATCTCCACCCATCCTTGAAAATAGATAGGTGTTATCTGCTCCTGACTGCAGTATTTCAGGGGAAGAAGGGTTTTTTTGCTATAGTTTCTTGGGGGATTTTGGGGTTTTTTTGTTTTTCTTTTTTTTCTCATGGGACAAACCTCATACATTCCATTCATAGAAAAGGTTTCCCAGGAAACTTCCATTCAGAGCTAGAAAATGGATAGAGAGATGCAAACTGAGAGCTAGGGGGAATGTTAATGAAGAGAGTGAATGTCTCTGCCCTGTTGTGGGATTTCCTGTTGACAATGGCCAGGAATATCACTTAGCAGGAGCCTTTGGAAGAAAGTTTCTTCAGTACTTCACTGTATGGGCCTCTTGACTAGAACAGTTTGAACACTCTGCTTTATCATTTGGGCCATAAAACGGCTCTTGTTACCTGTCAACACAGAGATTCAGGTCCACCGCTTCCCCCTCTTTCGGTGTCAGTCATGTGAGCCTGACTGTCCCCTTCCAACATGAATGACCTGACCTGTAAGGAAGGGAACCCCACGCGCCTCTTCCCTATGCATTCTAACCTACGGGCTCCTTTCTAAGTGCTTTTATGCATGGTTTAAAAAGTTAAGGTAAGATATCAAATAGATCCAGTTCTTCCACATTCCTGAAGTCAATTTTTTTAAAAGTAGGGATTACATACTTAGGTAACACAGAGATATTTCACTTGCTGTGAAAAGTTTGATTATAACTGACAGTTCAGGATCCTTCATTTTCATGGAGCGAAAGAAGCTTCCAGGATGTCTGAAAAATCTACAGGGCATTTTTATCCATATTTCCTACAAGAATATCATGAATGATAGTGGCCATAACTTACATGGGTGGAGTCATTCACAAAGCACTCTCGCATCCCTTGGCTCGCTGGAGACCAACAACAGTTGTTTTGAAGACCAGGAGATAGAGTTGTTTTAGAGATGAGGAAGAAAATAAGCCTAGAGAAAGGAGAAAGCTCATCAAAGACATAAAAGCAGTAACAAGAAAAGCCAAGATCATAACTCACATCCCTGACCCCTCATTCAAAACCAACCTGCCTCTCTCTGTGAACGATCATCGCACCTTGAGTCCTTTCCTCCGGGGGCAGGGGGGCAGCATGGAAGTAGGACATTAAGAGGTACGGATTATTAGGTATAAAATAAGCTACAAGGATATATTGCACACCACAGGGAATATAGGCAAGATTTTATAATAACTATAAATGGAGCATAATCTTTAAAAATTGTGAATCACTCAGCTGTACACCTGTAACTTATATTGTACAACAGCTATGCTTCAGTCAAAATAAATTATTAAAAAAAAAAGAATTAGCCCCACGTTGGACAAAAACTGCAACAACAATTTCATCAACAGGCAAAAGGATTTCCTACTTGGAAAGTTGTCAAGAGTAAGTGTTGGAATTAAGAAATAATTTTAAAAAAAATGACATCCTTGAGGGGCTAGAGAGTCACCTATGAAAGGGCTCACTGTGACAGTTCCTCTGCCTGGGATCAAACTCAAGCCGCCGGGTGTACAGCCAACATGCCAAGTGTGCCACAGATTCCCTGCAGTTCTGCAGCCAGGAGTGACGCCCCCCCCACCCAGGGACTTCATGTGTCCTTTACCTATGGGACGTGCTGCTGACCACTCAGAAGGAAGGCTGCCCAGTATCTCAGAACGAGCCCTGGGTTTGGATGATTTGAGTTTCAACTCTGATCTTGGGCATGTTACTTAACCCTGCTTCACTTCCGTAAAAAAGGGTAGAACTCCTAGAGTTGCCGTGAAGACTAAATTAGCTAGTGCTTCCAAAGCACTTGACAAGCAGTACCTTCTCAATGAATGCTCACTATTATTACTATTAATGTAACATTCCCATTTTTCAGAAAACAAACTGAGGCATAAATTAAAAAAAGACAACTTTGCACTGAGTTTAGGTGTGTCAATAGCAACAGTACCAAACTCACAGGACTGCTGCGATGACTACCTGTGCGGAACGTGTGCCTTAGGAAACACAGTTGGTTTGTGCACATATGCTAATACACCGTTTGGACTGCATGCCCTTGAAGGCAAGAGCAGTGCCCCTTTCTCTTGTCCCTTCTCCACAGTCTGGAAGAGGCCTTCCACAGAATCGGCGCTAAGTAAGTATTAACCAAATTAATTCTACATACAGCTACTTTGAAGGATGTCAGACATCTTATCCAGAGGTTATAAATCATTTAATTTATTAAATGGATTGAATCTATGCTTCCACAGATTCAACCAAGACCTACTTTGTCATTACATTATCAACCCAACACCACTGGCTATTGATCTGGTAAGTGACTGGCCTGCCCTCCAGGGTAGGGAGCCCTTGTTATGGTCTGAAGCACTTCAGTTGCTAAGGAGATGATTTTCTCCTATCAGTTGGGTCTAAATGTCTAACTCTCAAGCATTCACTGAGGTGTGGTGTGAGCTTCCTCTTCCAGAAGCTCGTCTCTAGCAAAACTTGGAGGCCAAAGGTACATTAAAGTAAAACCTCCTTAGCAATGATACTACTCTGAATTAATCGTCCGTGGACACTTGCAACCCATTGATCTCATCCAAAACCCAAGGCTCACTTCTTTTATTTCATGCCTAGCCAACACAATTCACCTGTTTAGGAAAGTTCTCAACTGAAAGATTGTCAGCGGGCCTTGCCAGGAAAGGGAGCTGTACAGGTGCCGCTGGGAACATCAGGACGTCCCCAGGGCGTCATTGCTCAAAAGAGGCTCTGCTGGTGCTGTCTGCCAGGGAAGAGACGGAGAGACAAAGGCTTGGGAAACTTAACAAGTCTTTTGTGCGGGATGAATCCTGATACTACAGCCAAAAGCCCTTGTCAGAGAGGTTGTGGGTGAGCTGGCTTTGCTCATTCTCTTAAGCTGATGTTGTTTGTTCCCTTATTCATTTCTGGTCCACGGAAATTCATCTCAAAATTTCTTTGAGAAAGGAGGAAGGGAGGCAGGGGGAAGGGATATATTGGGAGTTTGGGATTAACAGGTTGGCACGACTATATATAAAACAAATAAACAATGAGGACCTACTGTACAGCACAAGAACTCTATTCAATTTCTTATCATGAGCTGTGAAGGAAAACAATCTAAAATATATATATATATGTATGTGTATGTATAACTGGATTGCTTTGCTGTAACCTGAAACTAACATTATAAATTGACTACACTTCCATAAAAGTAAGAATTAAAAATTTAAAACATTAAAAAATAATAAAACTCCTTTGAAAGCCATGATTTTGTCCAGGAGTAAAGTCAAACCCAGGACACCTACACTGGATATTCTAGAAGTTTCAGGTTTAATGAACTCTATGGTTGAGAATGAAATTTTAGATTTTTATCCCACCTTTTCTTTCTTTGTTGTCAGAACGGTCCCAGCATCTTGAAGCAACATTTAAGCACAGATGCCAACACCTTAGAAAGAAAAGTCAATAAGAATTTGGCTATTTATGAGCAAACTGGAAATAGAACTTGGAGTTACTAAGACAAGGTAGAAGGAAGAAACCTATTCATACCATTTTCTGATCCCCCGCCCCTGAAAAAAAGTCATTCCGAGTTTGACACTTCAGGCCCTCTTAGAAATTATTCTAGGAACATAATGCCAAATTATGGACATCCAAGGACACCCTGGCTAAACAAAAAAGAAAAGTAGGTGAGCAATGAACCTTATTAGCATGTGTCCTCTCAGGCTGATGACTGTCATTAGGCTGCCGGCAATGACATCATTTTCTCTAAGAGGCAGTCAGCTCGAAAATGTCAACTATCTCAGCGAATTAATTCTTGCAGCTGCTTTATGTTGCCTTCTGCTCCTTGCTAAAAGAAATGGACATATTTCATTTATGGGATCTGTCAGACACGTTGCTGTTTTAAATATTACATTTTAAGCGCAATCCAATCTGAACATACTGTGTTTTGAGAAGCCTGGTGGAAAAAAACAAAAAAAAAACCAACATTGACTTCCATAAAGTAAAAGGCCAAGGTGTAAAACTCCATAATCTCATTTGAAAAGTAATCCCTTTTTTGGTTCAAACTGCTTTCATTTTATAATGTCATTTTTTTCCCAAAGACTTCTCTCCTATGAAGTTAATAGGAACACTTACGCTACACTGATTCAGCCGTACAATAGTCACATGGGGAGGCAAGGGCAGGACTGAGGAAACAAAGTAGAAGCATTTGAGAGGACAGATGATGTAATTGCAAAACGCAAGCCATCCAAACGCTCTTGCCTCTGAATGTAGCTCTTTTTCACTTCACCAGCCCCATGAGAAGAAAGTGTCATCTATTGATTATTTTCAATAAATATTATTGAACGCCTTTATTTTTTTTTCAGATCCTGTGCTAGGCGCCGGGGCGATGATTTTTTAAGACACTTCTCACCTTTAAGAGAGCTCCAAATTCAACAGGGGAGAGAGGCATGTCAAGGGAAATAATAAAATAACTTAGAAGTTGCATAAAAGGAAAAGACTCAGCAGAAATGTCTGAGAGTGGGTTTTAAAGGAAGACGATGTGGGTTTACAGACGTACCTGCACAATCTTCCATGTCAGGGTAAATGAGATGAAATGGAAAAGACAGACCAACAGTAAACTATCCCTAATAAGTAACTACAGAAGTATCTGGAATACCCGGCTGGGATGTCGAAAGCACCAAAAGGAGCCTTTCAACACCCTCAAATATCTTTCTTGTCTTCTGGGTAATGTCTGAAATACTTCCACCTGAAAACAAATACTTGAAAGCCACTATTAGACTTGAAAACTGGGAGCTGTCAGCCACTGATTTAAATAAACATGAAAGTTTAATTGACTGACACCATGGTAAGTTTTCAGAAAGGTGGCCAGGAAAGCTGAATGCATAAAGTAACAGGAAATAGGCAAATCTAAGAGCTAGAAAAAAAAAATGTGTTTCCTTCTATGCTTGTAATTTAAATTGTTTTAAGTTACATACAGTGAAATGCACAGATCTTAGATGTTGCAGTTTGATGTTTCATGAACACAGACACCCAAATAGTCCACACTGATGTCAAGACCCAGAGCGTTTCCATCAACTCACACAGTTTGCTCCAGCAAGTCAGTCTCCACTGCCCTCCTGGCCAAAGGCAATCACTGCTCTCGTTTTTCTCACTGTAGATGAGGATTGCCTACATTCTTAAATTTTATATAAATAGAAATATTCTGTGTGCACTCTTGTTTCTGACATCTTCCATGGAGCACAATGTCTCCACGTGTTATGAAGGAGAGTAACTGCTCCCTTTGTATTGCTGAGTAGTATTCCATTGCATGAATACACCACAGCCTGCTTATCCAGGATCTGTGGATGGACATCTGGATCATTTGCAGTTTTTAGCTATTTGAAGAGAGCTACTATGAACATTCTTGTATAAGTCTTATGTGAATATGCATGTTCGTTTCCATTGGGTAAATAACTAGGAATGAATTACTCGGCTGTAAGGTCAGTGTGGGTTTTAACATATTTAGGGGTATTTACCATGAAAATTGGGCCACTGAAACTCAATCTTGAAGGATGAGCTGGAAAAGGACATAAGGGCCACCCTAGCCAGGGGTTAGCGAAGCGTCTGTGGAATTTGGAAAGGTGAACAGTCAGATGTGAATCATAAGGTGCTTGGACGGTGTTCTTCCTGGCAAACAGCTCCTGGGATGTTTCCAAAGTCTGTGTTATTGTTAGCAGAGTCTACAGAGTCTGAAATAATTACTGGAATTTCTGAAAGTGTTACTAAGCATTTCAAAAAATGTCATTGTTCTGGGAAGACTAAGAACATAACAACAACAAAAATCTTAACCTCCTGTTCAAATGTCTGTTTCCAGTACAGCTGATCTGGTAAAACAGGTATCCAGCTGGGCGCTGCACACTGGTCCCACCGTCAGCCACTGCGTCTTAAGAACAGGATCTGGACTAGAGCAGGTCTTCCCCAGTTAGGGCCCAGTCTCAACCACTCTGAGGGCACAAACCCATTCTTTGCCCCACTTTACACTCTCAGGTCCATGCCTAAGAGCCGTAGGATCGCCAGGGCTGCAGGTAACTTGGGTTACCTGCCTGGCTGGAAACGTGCATCACTCAGATACTATCGGTCCAGTCCATTTTGTCAAAACCCCGTTTCAGTTTATTATTAACTTCTTTCAGTGGGTTGAGATTCTTATACATTACCTTTGACCATTAAAAAGAGAAACAAAAGGTTGTTGAATGCTTCAATCTACTCTCTTCTTTGGTTTTTCTACCCCAACACATAGTTCCTAATTAAGGGCTGAGAGCTGAGACCTTAGGTCTAAATTATTTTCCTTGTTCTACTAACTGTTCTCCAAGAAAATGAACTCCCAATCCACAAATTCCCCCAAGAGAGCCCTAAATCTCAAGAAAGATACAGAACATTCATGAAGTTAAAT